TTATCCTCACAAACTAAATAAACATAAGCCTTCGTCACGGCCGCGTCATCAAATGCTTGTGTACTTTATATATAATTGTGCCTGTATTAAACAGATGAGAGAAAAAGAGGAGACAACGTTGACTAACATTGACTTGTATTCACATCGCTATCCAAATTTATGTTGGAAAACATAAAGTGTAATTTCCACACCTCCTGCTGGAGTTTATCCACAGCCTGCGTGACGTCATCCTCCCCCGACTGCTTGTATTTCTGCTGCATGGTCACCTTCAGGTTCTGTCTGAGCTCCTCATCCAGCTGAGAGTAAGAAATCACAACTTTAGTGGTTACTCAAAAAAAGATATCTGCTATCTGAAAATGTCATCCCATGAATTAAAATAACCCCTGGTCAAGTTTCTTCCCTCCCTTGTAACATTCCTCTTTACCTGTTCAATACTCAGAGCAATGTATGTACGTGAACATTTACCAAATGGAAAACAATCCAAATGTGCAAATAAGTTGTGTGTTTCTCGACTGAATAAGTGCAAACAATCCATTTTATATCAACCTGTCAGAGAAACAGGTTGATATAAAATGGAGACAGGTGGCAGCAGATTACCTGGTAGCAGAAAGGGAAACACTGGAGCAAGAAAAGGGAGGAAGAGAGAGATGTGAGAAGGATGGAAAAACAGGACAAATGAAAAACATGCACAGAGAGGCATGCAGAGAAGATTTCACAACAGAGTGCAGACATGCAGGTGTTTCTTCAGTAGCAAAACGATTTGAATAGAAATGACGAAGAAAAAATGAATAGTTTTCAAAACATTAAGGGATTATGGAAGAACCAAAATATACAGAAAGAAAAGGAATTGTCTTTTTCAATTGCTGCATTCCAATCTCATATAAATGGTGTCTGGTGAACAACAATACAATCATCTGGTACACACTGTACAAGACCTTATAAAGACATATTTAGGTTGAAAATGACTTTATGTTAGACCATCAGTCACTATACTATGTAAAACACTTTACCTCTTGGTAGGTTATGTAAGCCAGCACGCCAGCAATGATTTCCAGCAGGAAAATACAGATCAACAAGACCAAATACTGAAGGGGATGGACGAGAAAAAAACATGAACTAAGCTGTTAATGAACTGAAGTTGAAACATATCAATTCAAGCATTACAAGACAGTGTTTCAGTCCATTTCTGTGCTAACATACGACATTTGATGTAATTTTAGACATGGCAATAGCTTTAAAAAGTACCTGTTCAGGATTTAAAAATAAAAATAAAGGTTTTACTCCAGTGAATCACTGATTAAAATGGGGGGTAGGAAGTTACTCATTATTACAGTTGTGGTAAATATAGAACTAGACATAGCGTCATAGAGCTTGTGCAGTTTTATTTCTGTATAATACCCTCTCACTAGTGTCTGTCTGTCTCTCTCACACACTCTTCAGTCCTGCGATGCCGTTCATTCCTCTGCCATGAGGCGCACTCTAAATCTAAACTCTTAAAGACACACTCTGCGTGACTTGTCTGTATCTGACAGCCCTGCCTGACATAATGACCCACACTGAAGGCAGGCAGACGAGACAGAAGGTCACCAGGGATTAACTTTCAACACACGACGACTCGAACAGGTTGTGTGTAGGAAGTTTAAAGGGGCTATCCTTTTGTTTCAACATAATTAAAGGAACACTACACCCCAAAAACGATCGTGTGTATATAACTTCCTTAGATTCTTATATTAAACTTTATATTTCTTGCATACATGTACTGTGAACGATCAAACAAAAACAGAGGAATTTTAGATGAGTTAAAGGAAATGGGGGCTTCATTTAACAAAAAGGAAAACTATATCAAAACATCTGTTTACAAACTTTCACACTATTTGTGCAAAAATAATCCATGTCTTAGTTATCCAGTTGTATGCTCAATACTTCCCAAACACATGCATTTTGGCTCAAACTCAGTGCTATTGCTTCAACAGTACAGTGACAGACAAGTAGCACATCAGTGAAAGAGCACATTATAGTAAATAATAGAGTTTCTATGTGGTTAAAAATTATTGAGCATACGACTAGGAATAAAGTGATATTATATTACACAAGTTGAAAGAGAGCTTGTAAAAGAGTGCTTTGATAAAGTGTTCCTGTCCGGCATGTGCCCCAGTGGACCTATCATGCTATATTTGAATAATGTATTGTAGGGCCATACCTATATAAAACATGTCTGCGAAGTTTTTTTTTCAAAATACCAAACAGATCATGCGTTTTAGCCATGCCTCATTTTGCACTATTTGCATATGTACTACAGCGTCTCCAGCGCTTTCGAACGGCAATGGCCGTGGCTGTCTCCTCCTGATAGGTGGAGAGTTGCCCATATAGGCGGAGCTCCCCATTTCTGACGTCAGAGATATTTCAAATCTGGATCAGTCTGTATCAGATCTGTTGCAGCCCCGTTTTTAGAGATTTGGGTATGGAGGAAAAGAGAGAGGGTTGTGTTTTCTGACACTTGGTGAGTTCCCTGACACACTGGGGACACATATTCATGTATAAAAGACGTACCAAAGTGCATTTTGCATGATAGGTCCCCTTTAAATTCTTCAGGAATTCTCTAAATGTTTTGTTTCCTCTTTCACCATGGAGGGATTTGTAGACAAACAATTATTTTGAGGGTGACAAAAAAAATGTATATATAAAAATAGGTTATTGCTTTAGGGGACTGAAGAAAAATCGAACTATATTAATATTTTAATTTAATTTAATTTCTCGGTCCCTGGGCACTGCTTTGCGTCTGCTCCATCTTACCACAATCAGGAGAGCCCTCATCTCCTTCAGAGTGGCACAGCATCCAATGATCCCGGTCACTATCACAATGACCCCGGCAGCTATCAGGATGTAAGCTGAGGCCGAGTAGAAGCTGGAGTTTAGTAGACTGATGTAGTCGCTCTTTTCCACCAGAGTCCACACTCCCACTGCCAGCACAGCCGCTCCTGCCAGCTTAAGGAACGCACCGTTATCAGGACAACTCAAACCAGATGCTCTTATGAAGAATGCTCCACATAACGTTTTTAAAGAGCTCCTAAAATGTGACAGTGATGCAAAAGGACTACGCCTTCTTCTTTCCATGCCAGCTTCAAGAAACTTTCAGCTAAATTAGTTTGTATTAGCTGATGGGTAGGTTTTTTAGTATAATTGTATTTATTGAAACTATGTGGGGCATTATATCACACATTTGCATTGAATATAAGGAAGTTGTTTCTCCAACAATAGAAATGAAAGCAAGCTGTGATATGACACAGTGTTGCAAGAGGAACCTCTATGTTAGTCTCTGAGGCATATGGCTATTATAGGTAAACGTTTATTATTACAACTAATGGTATTCATATTTATCCCAGTATCCAAAGGAGCTCTTAACATAGAGTTGTGTTGACTTACCCAAAACAGAATGTTAAAGAGAAAAAGTAAATACTTCAGACAAATTGTCCCACAGCTGAGTCTGTTTCCACCTTGAGCTTCCATTCTGAAATAGAACATATACATGTTAGTACACTTTAAGTTGATGTGCATTACCAAATGAAAAACTTTCAGGAGAAGATTGAAAAACATAGACATAATGAACATAAGCAGAGAGCTAGTCGACTCTGCATTAATACTAAAGCAACGATTATTATCACACAATTTACTATCTTTGTACTCGTAGGACAGCAAACTAAATCCTATTAGGGCCATATCTGATTGAGACTTGTCACCATAAACATTTAGGAATTTCTTCTTTACGTCTGATTTACATGCTTCACTACAGCACACATATCATATTCGGACTAGTATTTAACGTTTTGTATGTGTTAGTTTTGAGTATAATCTAATAGTTCACCAAAAATGAAATGTGGTGCATTTTGAAAGTTGGTCAAACAGCGTCATGGAAACATGTCCAAGATGAAATCAAATGTTTGTGGGGAAAACATACTTAACTTGTGTCACATGTCATCAAGCAGACAGATATATACGTGCCCATCCCAGCCATTTAACTTGATATATATTGTAAGTAGCTTTGGATAAAAGTGTCAGCCAAATGAAATGTAATATTCTCACACTCCAATGATACACTGTTGACTTTGAACTCTTTATGAGTTAGTCTGTCTCTATCCTAACCCGAAATGAACTTTACACTACTTCTATTTTAAGTTGTGTCTCTGAGCATCATGCAGTGTGAGAATAAACACACACACAAAACAAACACAATCTCCAGAGAGAGTCAAGTGACACTAACACCTGAAAAATGCTGTCTTTCTATTCACGAGACAAAGTATTCCATGTGAAAATGTGACTATCAGGCAGCTCCTAATGGTCATAACATAAAAAGTTATTTTTAACTCATTGTGTCATGGAAAAACTGCTCTCCCTTTCCGTTGAGACTAAAATACTCCTACCTGATTTTAGATGGAGGGCCCTGAGAGTGTAGATTATCGAGGCAACGTCTTCCCAGATCCCACCAGCCCCAGTGTCGATGTGCTGTGTCTTTGAAGGTTAACGGCAACAGCGTCGGTTCTCAGTTGACACTCAGACCAGAGCCTCCTACTCAGGCGTCTGAGTCCTCTTTTGGCTCAACAGGCAGCTCACCCCTCCACCAGCTTTATGGAGAACATGGCTGCCCCCAGCTGGATTCTCACGCATATGAGATCTAATACAATTGTGCAGCTTGGAAGATGTTCTTAAAAAATGACTGAGACAACAAAGGAGTTATCAAAAATGTGTTTTATTGGATGGATTATAAATAACTGTTACAGATACTGTAATGTAAAGTTGTTCATAGATAATATCACTGTTTGTGTCTTGAAGTGACCACAAAACTTGGGAGTTTTAGTTAGAAGTCTTTTTTTTTTTTTTTTACTTTTGTCGTCCGTTTATCAACAGCAGACTTTTTTAGTCATGTCTTGAGTCAGTAAAACTGCATCTTCACATTTACGATCAAGCTGGGAGACCAACGTCCTAAAATGAAAAAAATGGGATCATTGTGCAGCAGAAACCACAACATTTGAGAATAAAAATGGGTTTGTAATTCACACTGCTGATCCGGTTGCATTGCTCCATGTCTGGTCTATGATTAAAATTAGGAGATAAACTACACTCAGATTCTAGTTTATCAGGTACATCCCCTTTATATGTATTATAGTAGAATACATTCGTTAAAAGTGTTAAAACAGTTAGTAATTCAAATGAATACTCAGCAACAAACATTTTCTAATTCCAGTCTATCGATTGTGAGGATTTGCTACGCTTGAGTGTACCAACAAAATGCAAACACAGCAGATACAAATATTTTGCAGGCTCTAGATGTGGATGTCAGACAGCAAAGAAACAAGATGCCATACCTAGCCAGATGAGTCATCAGCTCCTCCATGTTACATCCACTTTTAGCACTGCACTCGTAGAACAGAGCTTGGTGCTGCTGTATAATCCAGGAAGTGAAAAAAACTAAAATAAATGACAGACTTATTTCCAAGATAATGTTCAGGGATTAGCGGTGTCATTGTGAGTAAATCACCGCACAAAGTTGTTTGAATATTCAAATGTACCTCACCTCTGCTAGTCCCTGCCCCTCGGATGTGGTCACTCTTCTGCTGTGTGTGTCTGCCAGGTCCAGCTTGTTCCCCAGCAGCATCAGAACCGCACCTTCACACATCTTCTCCTGGGACAGACATACAACACACTTTAACAACACAACATTGTTGAGGGAAAGATATCACAAAATCTACACAAAACATCAATCTAAAATCAGTGTTCATATTTATCACTCAGATGGGAAATGTTTATATAGAAATGTGTGTATTGTCAATCACAAGCATGTGTATGCAAATGTATCCTAAACTGTTTTGCATGTGTTTCTCCACCGGCTTACCTTCACAGAGTCCATCCACCCTCTCACAGCGGTGAAGGTGGAGGGTTGAGTCACGTCATACATGGCAAGGATACCGTCAGCTTTACGGTAGTACTGCTCAGTGATGCTGCTAAACCTGAACACACTTAAGGAATAAGAAAAGAAAACACACCCACAAACAGCTCAATATTAGGAGGCAATGAAAAAGATCCTAAACCTCAAATGGCATGTCAAATCAAAGTCAACTTTATTGTCAATCTTTCAGTTTGTGTGTACAGACAATACAATCATGCCACAAAAAAGCACAAGACGGGTAATCGCAGGAATCTGACCTCTCCTGTCCTGCAGTGTCCCACAGCTGCAGGGTGACGGTGGTGGAGCCCAGAGACAGGGTCTTCATCTGGAAATCTATACCTGGAAGCAACAAAGACCTAGGGTGTCATATGTTTGATATATATATTTACTCAGGAGCACATTAGCCATTGTGAAAGAGTGAAAAGAAAAGCTTACCTACAGTAGCGCTAATTTTACTATAGAAGTGTCCTGTGCAGTAGTGCTGGATGAGGGAGCTTTTACCCACCCCTGAGTTACCAAGGAATACCACCTTGAACACTCGCTGAGGACTGACAATTGTGCTCTAAAATTCAGGTAAAAGGACCACACTTATCATTTGTTTCTTTGCATCTAAGAGAATACATATTTGTTTATATAGCGCAATATTACAAATGAATGACACATTTGACTCAGCATGAGATATCTTTTGTCTTTAGACCCTCGCAGCAGACAAGAAAAAACTCCCAAAGAAAGCCCACAATTAACTGGGAAAAAAGTGGAAGAAACGTCAACGAGAGCAACATTAGAGGGATCCCTCTCCCAGGACGGACAGCCATGCAATAGATGTCGTGTATAGATTAAAAAACATATATATTTAATGTAAACTCCATCATAGCAGTGCAGATTATAACAAGCCTCTGAGTAGCATGTTTATCAATAAAGAGTTTTAAATGTGTTATCAAATTGATGCATTTGAGATTAATGTTATTATCAATATGTTCCCTACCTGAGTTTGCACCTGCTCAACATTTTCACACCTGACTCTACATGACGGTTGGTGTCTCTTGGATGAATTTGTCACTTCTGTCTCTTTTCCCTGCTCCAGCTCATGGGATGAGCTCAGCTGTCTTTAGAATCAATGAATACACATAACATTAGTTGCTGCCTAGCATTAATGCAAATATGTTAAATGTGATGTCGGTGCGGTTGGTCATACAAACCTTTTCAATGGCTTGTCTTGCAGTAAGTAGTTACCTATGACTGACCCTTGCTTCCGCAAAGGCTTTGTGACATTTGGATTCTAAAGGATTTTCGTGAAAAGTAAGGCAGAAGAAATGAGAAGCATTAAGGTTTGTGTAATTTGTAAGATGTGTTTCAATGGTTATTTACACTGTATTCTCTGAGGACATACTTATTGTTTCACAAAGGGAGATGTTTAAAAAGCAAGAAGTTTATTCTACTGCATAGAAGTTTAACATCATTTATCACCAATACACTTGTTTGATTACAAACTATTTGACAAGACAAATATACAAGATATAAACAGCAGGTGTTTGTTGTGTAATGGAAATTATATATTTTTTTATTAATATTTTGTAGTATCTGTAAATGATCTCGCTATTATCCATCCCTATCCTTTAGAGTTGGACATAGCTAGTTAGCTTAGGCTATAAATGGCATTGGTTTACGTTACAACCTGTCTATACACAGACAAACAATACATAAATCATTTGTTCAGAAACTTTGAAGATACATTCTTGGAAGAATTTGTAAAAAAAACAAAAACTGTTACAGGTTTGGCAAAACTGTCATATGTAAAAATGTGGATAGGATAAAGGGAACCTGCGTATAATTATCAGTCCTTCAATATAATAAGAATTGGTAGTTAGTTCAATACTGACCCATTTTTGTTCACCTTCAATATTAAACATATAAATGCTTTTCTCTTCAAATTGGCACAGATAGAATAAATGTCTTTTCAACAAAACACTTCACTCCATTGAGTGCTGACATCCCAAAACCCCAAACAGGGTCACTGAACAAACGTTCAATGAATAACCAGCAATAAAAGCTGCCCATATAAATAATCATTGTCCAGAGGATGAAATAAAGCATGAAGCCGTTCATAGACTTAGCTTATGTTGGATAAATCTGCTGTGTCCACGGGGTACAAAGGTCTTCACTGAGGTAATAAGTGAGAGGCAGAGGAGGAAGGACAGAGTGTCTGTGACTAACCCTCTTCTGAGACTGCTGGGCGTCTTTCTCATCTCGCAGCCTTTTGTTCATGTCCCTGACACAGAGAGAGAAAATCAGTTAAAACAAAGATCACGCCTTTTACTGTTTAAAGGTGGGTTAGTAAAAAAAGAAAGGAGAGTTAACACACTAGAATTGCATAAGTTCCTTACAGACTTTTTTCATTTACACATTTTGTGGAGAAATGTGTTTTACTTCACAACATATGAACTTGATTAAAACAGCAACAGTAGTTATTAAGACCTACCTCAGCAGCTCCAGCTGTTTGAAAAGACTATCCTTCTCTTTCTGCATGTTCCTCGACACCTTCATCACGTTTCTACATTGGAGCAAACAAAAGATTGATGAAAAATCTATATTCTTCTTATTGTCGACAAATCCCAGGAAAAGACCAAAACCAAAACCAAAACTATTCCTTTTTAGTACTGCCTATTCTGCCAAAACCTGATATACTTGAACTCCTTCATTACGATGAACAAGGTCACTGTAGTTTAATCCATGTTGATTCCACAAACACCGTCTTACTGCTACTACTCACCAGCAAATACCAAATGTGTGTTAATATACAACATAACAGTCCCCAACTAAAACAATTCATTCTAAAGACCAACCAAAATAACAACAACAAAGAAGAAACTAGTTTATTAGAAAAAAGCAGTTTTTGTTTTATTTATGACATGCAACGGCATGTCACCTCTGCTTGGACACTTGCTCCTGTGCGGTGCTGAGCTGCATCATGTTGAGCTGACCCAGGGCCAGCTGCAGCTGCTCCCGGCTGCTCTCCACCTGCTCCTGCAGCTGCACGTTGAGGCTCTGCAGCTGCTGGTTCTGCTCCTTGATGTTTACCTGTTCACAGCTCAGCTGCCGGATTCTGGTCTCCAGCTTAGGATAAAGACAGGTCCGGGTGATTTACTCATAAAACTGAAACTCTTTGGGAAAACTTGAGTACTGTTTGTACACTTACCTCTTTCTGTTTAGTCAGTGTATTCTCCAACTCCTGCTCCCGCATATTCAGCTCCTCCTTAAGTTCTTGTCCTCTCTGCTTCTTTCCAATACTGTCCTTTAATTCACAAGAAATTCATTTAATGCTATTATCGTGAACACAAAGGTAAATGGCACAAAGGCTGGACTATATAGCACAAGTATGTACCTGAGTCAGGTGTTTCTCTCTCTCCTCCCTGATTTGGTTTTCCATTTCTTCATTTATGGACCGAACAACCTGGTCATGTTCGATCTCACGTCTAAAACAGAAACAGTTGATTGATTTTGACTCACAGTTGAATGGGGCATGATGAGTGGTTTGTGAGGACATTGGGAGGAAGTGTGTACCTGCGTAGAGCTTGTTCCAGGCTGTCTCTCTCTCTGATGGAGTCCTGTAGATGGGACACTGCGTGGATCAGGACGCCCTCCAGGATGCTCAGCAGCTCCGGTCTGTCTCTCTGGAGTTCACACCACACAAAGGAGAGCTCCTGCTGACTGACACACAACACACAACTGTTCGAGCGGCTGAGGACCTTAGCAGCACAACACCAATCACTAACAGTACAACAGGTGCAGGGTCTTAATCGTAATGTTCAGTTTTGGAATGAACTCTGTGATTACTTTGAAGGATATAGTTGGATTTGTTTTGCATTATTCAGGAAGGTGTTTCTACTATTTCCCGACACACAATGAAGGTAGGCTAAATAACAGAAACAACTCTGAATTAATACAGCCTGGTTTACCTGATACACTGAGTGTAAATGGTGCTCTTCTGTTGCTAGTTTTCAAGTCATGAGTAATACAAGTGTTAAGTCTAAAATAAAATAAACAGATATAACTTTATGACATTGATCTTACTCTTTAAAGACTTTGTCAGCGCCCAACTCCGTCAGTATGTTCACCAGTCTGAGTGCAGAGGGGTCCTGGGACCAGTCCACCTGCTCTGTATCTGCTTCTGTTTCGTCTGGACTCAGCTCAGTCGTATCATCCAGCCCCACAAACTCACCTGCAGCAGGCAGAGGAAGGCAAAGAGGATTCGTGAAAAAACAGTGGCTTTCCCCTCAAAGTCATGGAGAACTCTCAAATCCCTCACAACTGCACATTTAACAATGGGACGGAACTAGAAAAATATTTATATATTTTCAAGACAAATGGATTCATTGAAACTATATTTCATATATTAAATATATTCAGTGTAATATGAATTATAAAATTGAGAAATACAGTAAATCTCCATATTTGAGAGGCAGATACAATATTTTTGTATAAAAAATGTATTGAGGATGAATCAATCAAGTGACTATTTTTCTTTCGAGTGACTAAGCTAAAATCGACTTTTCGTTGCAGCTCTACTCACCAAATCCTGTTTTAAACTCAACAGGAGTGAGGAATCCATTGCTCTCTCTGTCCAGACTCTCAAAAACGGTCTCCAGCTGCTCAGGGGACAGAGGCAACTCCCCTTGTAGCCTCTGGATAGAAAAAACAAAGTTCAAGATTCTACAATTAACTTAAATGTTGTTATTCTACCACATCGGATGCTCACCTGCATATCCCGCTTCGTGATGAAGCCCTTCCCCTCCTTGTCACACAGCAAAAACAGCTCCTTGGCCTTGCCCATGGTCTCTGCCAGGGGGCTTAACGGCGCCGCTTTTCTGGCCCGGGGTGAGGCCAGCGGACTGCGTGCCCGCCGGCCCGGCCTGGGGCTCCCAGACGGGAGGCCCCGGGGTCGGGGGCTCACAAGTACTGCCTCCCCACTGCCCTGACCCACCAGCACTTCACTATCATTCAGCCATTTAGACATTCTGCACTGAGGCCGACAGGCATAGGCTGGGAGTTGGAGAGCGTTTCTTTGAGTTTTATTGATGACTTTTAGTTTGTCATTTGGGGAACTCTTCTGTTTGCCTCGGAGTCATGAGGAGTAGACCTGTAATGTGAAGCATGACAAACAATCAATAAAACATAAATGTGTCATCCTAAATAGTGAAGGAATACTAACCATTATCTGGTGAAATGGGAGGATAGGATACTTGTATTTGTCATGTGGAATTATAAACTTTGGTCTAACAAGAGGAATATATTTAAAGCCCTAATGAGATTAATTAAATCTATGTATTTATGAACATTAACAGTTTGAGGCCTATATCAGAGACCTTTACTTATTAACCAGAGTGAATAAAAAGACACTTTGGATCTTCTCTCTCTGTGTTGCAAGATATTGTGAGAAGCTGGCCTAAAGGTCCTCCCTTGTCAAACATGAGGTGCAAAACAAACGCTGTGACTGTACACATATTCCACAGCTGCTGTGATCAGGTGTCGGGCATGACACTTTTACAACTGTTTGAGGGACATGAAGGAAAGTTACTTTACATTTCTATACAAATTGTTCATATTCTAGGCCAGGTCAAACATAGATCCCTAGCTTTACGCAGCATAAGCAGTTGCCCCCACTGTTAATGAAGAGGAGGCGCATTTAAAAACATGTGATGATGATGCCACTGCTAAAGCTTGCTCTATACCAGGATGTGTGATGGTAAAACAACAGGATGGTGTCATGTGAGGAGAGTTTCTGTGTACTCGAAGGGGAGGGCAGATTGCCTGGGGAGAGGAGATGCAAATAAAACATTTGCAGTTTGTTTGCATTGTCTGAAATACCACAATTGTATACAGATTTCACTCTTGAGAACTGCACTGAAAATGTGCCTCAGTATCTCCACAAACACTCAAAAACAGTATTTTATGATGGATACAAGATTGCATGTAATCTGTTTTCCGTTTGGATGACATTGCTATTACACAGGAAGAACACATCAGCATAAATCATACATGGTTATTTTAAATTGAATTCTAAATAATTAGTGTCAAGTTAATGTTGATTTGTCAATGCCTCTCCTTCCAGTATCTCTAGTTATCTAAAATCATAAAACCAATATCTAAGAATATGCACTGGCTACTCCTAAAGCATTTAGCTGATGATCTATGCAGATCGAAAGTTCTTTATAACATAAAGATATGCTAGGATCCCAGATAAGGCACTTGTGCAAACATTATGCTGTGGATTTTTGTATGTCAGTAAACCAACAGCCACGCCAAAGGTCAGATACATTTACACATTTAACACTATTTCGCAAAGTCGGTAAGTGAAGCGCCGTGTTGTAGCAAAATACCACTTCTCAGGGAAAGTGAATATACAACGTTTACAACGTGTCGTAGGCTACACAACTGTCAGTCAAAGGTCTAACACTTTCTGTGATACATGTCAACACAAGACGACACTCGGTCTAACTTTATAAAACACATGTTTAAAAACACTGACAGCTCTGATAATACAACATCAAGTTGATATTCAGTAGCCAATATTTGCTAAATGCAGAATAGCGACTGTACCAACAAGTTTGAGAGAAAATTAGCTTGGCAACTTACAGTAAAAATAAATGGCTTACATGCGCATTGTAGCTAGCTAAGGTAACTAAACCCAAGATAGTGAAGTAATGCACATGTATTATTAAAGAAGAAAGGAACCCCACACAACAGTTAGTCGGTTGTTAGTCCACCAAGGCGGGAAGAGTGACCATAAACGTATTCATATTTCTAAATAACATTGACTGTGTTTTATATAAATTCAGAGAAGTTGTAGAAACGTGGTGGCTACTCACCTGTAGTGTACTGGACGCAGGTCTGATCAGCTTAGTGCTGCAGTCACTTTACGTACTGACCAGTCTATGGTACTGACGTTAGCCGCTGGGTGGCAGTGAGCACTGTGTTTGATGAGAGTTTACCGTAGTGTGTGGAGTAGCACGAACATTGAATACCCACACTTTCCTTGCCTAACATGTTTATTCATTGTTTTTTCTTTCACACAGCAGCTCCGTTTGAAAGCATGTAGGAAAAACAAGCAATTTAAAGCAACTGAAAGGATACGGTGATCTCTATTATTGCTTTTAACTAAATGTTCTTGAACCTATCTCTTTGTTATTACGGTAAGTAGGAGCGTTACCATGGAAGTTACGGAAATGCATTCGTTGCCGCTGAATAGCAGCAGTGGAGGCAGAGTGGGTAGCATTGTCTGCAAATAAGTAGAATATGAGCGTTGTAATGTTTCTTTTTGGCTCGATATGACTTCCTTTATTTTTCATACTTTGTTCCGGTAAGTGGCCGTTATTTCGTACATGTGAAGCTGTGATACAACAGTATGAAGAACCAGTGTTATGATGGTAACGAAGCAAAACGTGTCTGGAGGGAGTTCCTCGAAGTTAAAAACCGAGGTGTGCTATAAAATACAGTGATTTGTTTTGGTTGTAAAACAGTTAAATAACTATATCATGCGTCTCCAGGATTATCTGCAGCTGGTACTATAAATAACCTTAGGCTACCGTCGTGGGTAGAGTAGATGAAGAGAAAGGGAGTGTGTCAACAACTAAACAAGAGTGGTGTTCACGTAGGTAAAATTAATCTGTAATCCTATGGTTGGCATCTCCATGTTTGTTTGTGTAAGAGTATGTGTGTGTTTACGGTGCACGGTTAGGTTTACTGCTAAATTAGCTGTCTGCACGGTACTGGAGATGGCCAAGGCAAATATATAAACAATCACAATGCTTATTTTTCTCATAGCATACAGCGATATATCTTTTGTCTCACTGCTTCAATGTTTTCTCCTTCAGGAAATGCAGCAGACGAGGACACTTTCCACATCAAGGATGTCAACATGCAGCATATGAAAATATCTCAAACATCTAATCTGGTATCGTGGACTGCATTCAATCATCACCAAGACACTTTTCCCTGAGGACTACAAACAACATGTTTATGAACAGAGGGACTAACTGGAGTGGGGATAACCTAAAACAGAATAGAACATATTAGTAATAAGTATTTTGACTATGTGAATGGAGAAGTCATGTGAGTTCTTTCTGCCTACTGTAGTCTACACCTCTGCAGTTTCTCTGTACTGAAGTATGTAGAGGGTGAATCTGAAAAGACTTGTGTCACCATCAAGTACCTACGTTTTGCAAGTCTAAAGAAAACAGCCAGAAGCGAGGAGGCGAACAGACTGTGAGGCTTGGTGCTTTGCAAGATCCGTCCCTGAAGATGCTGCAGACTGGTAACTTCTCACTGGTGCTGCTAATCCAGCTGACACTGTTGGCCTATGACCTCTTCGTCAACTCCTTCAGTGAACTCCTGAGAGGAGCCCCGGTCATCCAACTAGTGCTTTTCATGTAAGTCACTGAACTGTATGTTAAAATGATTTTGTATCTGTCATTAAGTCACAAACATGCTCCAGCTAATTGATTTCATTTTTAATACCGATTTGTTTAAGTATTTTATAAGTCTAGCATTTTAAATTGGACTTTTTTCATAAAATTGGTTGTGGGTTTCATTTGGGGTAGATGGACTATGACACAATATGTTTAAGGCTGAAAATATAATACATTTAAGATTAATTGATTTATCACTCAAAGTGAATACATTAGCAGTTAACCAAGGATGTATACTATTGAGATGCTCACACGCTATTTTGCTTTACTTATAGAAAGTCTTGTCACTCTTTGTGGTTTATCATCATTGAGGTTGTAAAAATAAATGACTTTCCTCTTCTACTCTTTTAGACCAACCATTACTGTTTCATAACAATATCCTGTATAGTGAAGCTTTGTCAAATATATTGTTGTGTGTTAAAACCCACATAACTGTATTTTGTTCACACATGACTCATTCCATCAGAAACCAGAAATACAAATTAACCATTAACATCTGTGTCTACAGCATGCAGGACATCGCCATCTTGTTCAACGTGATCATCATTCTGCTGATGCTGTTCAACACCTACGTATTCCAGGTGGGCCTGGTGTCCCTGCTGCTGGAGAGGTTCAGGGCGCTGCTGATAATCTCTGCTCTTTACCTGACGCTCAGCATCTGCTTCCACTGCTGGGTGCTGGTAAGCTTTGTTACACAACTCAACTAACTCAAGTAAACACTAAATCATGACAATATTGAAGTAAGCGATGTCATATCACAACTTAGATTTCTTTCATTTTTTGCATTAGTCTTAGCTTTTATAATTGTAATTTATTTTTGATTCTTTTTTCTGTGTCTCTGTATGCACCACTTATACCAAATGTGAATTCCTCGTATGTGTAAATCCACTTGGTAATACAACTGATTAACGGTGGACACTTTTGAAACTGCTGCTTATCATTTTTATTTTTTTAGAACCTCCGATGGTTTCAGTCAAACCGATTTATTTGGACTGATGGTCTTCAGGCTCTTTTTGTGTTCCAGAGAACAGGTAAGGGATGGCTTAATTTACAGGATAATTTCCCTTTGCAACTAATTTGTTTTTTGTATTAGTTGAGTAAATATAACTTTTTTCTGTTAACAGCGGCAGTGTTGTATTACTACTTCTACAAACGCACAGCAGAGTGTATGGGTGACCCGAGGCTGTATGAAGACTCTCTGTGGCTGCGTAACATCTTCACCAGAGCTCGTCAGTGAATAAGACAGTTTTGAGAAAGACTTTAAGGAAAATATTTTTGAATTATTTGTACATCTATGGATCACCCTATGTTAACTTGCATATCTGAAAGTTGAACGGATACAATTCTTGGTTAACTGAAGTAAATGGGGCCGTGTTTAACAACAGCTGTTGACAAACTTACATGTTTGCTATTTTGTGATACTTGTCCACCTGTAAGACTTTTTTTTCAGAAGTTGGTTAAAGCAGCCCCCATTTATTTTCCCTTAGAGGCCTCAGAAAACAGTTTTCTGCAAGAATGTAAGGTCATCATATTGGGGATGAGGTATTCCTTCAAAAGGATCTGGGATGGAAGGCCCTTCGGACATTATAACACCAAGCATCATTATTAGCTATTCAGAATTTTTGACTATTTTCACAGCAGTCTCAAGCTGTTTATTTGTGCTTCAATACCAAGTGAGGAATTGGTTAAACCGCTTACAGTGGCAGGTAAGCCAACCGTAGTGGTATTGTATTAACCAGGATTGTGTCTGGTAATCTGTGGCCTTTGTAAATCAATTAGAGTGGCAGACAGCATGAGAAGCATTGAAAGCACATTAGTAAGATTTCAGTGTTTTCAAATGGAAAGTGTGTTTTGATTTGTAGTAATTTATCCATAAAACATGTAGTCATAGTTTTTTTGAAAATGTATGTTATTCCCTCCTCAAAGGAAGAACATTGTTGGTTTGTTTGGCCTTATGTAAGGTTATTATGTGCTGTTTACATGGTTAATGTCATTTTAATAAGCCAATGTTCAAGTGAACTCTTCTCTGGGTGGGAATCTTTGAACAGTGTTCCCGCTGTTTTTAAATAAATAATCCTTCTCTAATCCTGGTGTAATCCTTTCTTCACTCAAGTCAGTGTTGACCTGTAGACAAGGTGAAGACTGCCCTATATTTAACACAAAGATTAATCAGGGCTTGAGGGTTTTAGGCACCATAGTGAAACACACCATAAATAGTCTTTAGGGTGTCAAAATAAAATTCTAATAGCTAGAAAACAACAGTACCATTGAACTTTGGGTCTCATCTAAATAAGAATTGATACCGTTTTTATACAATTGTTAAAATCTATGTGATCCATGGATTTTAGCTATTCATGCTGATATCAGGCTGAACAAAGAAGCACACAAAAAGTTGTACAAATCCCCTTTACTCGTGACAAGAAAACCAGAGTCCATATGATCCTATTATGTTGTCAGTGCACTCCAATTAAATCCAGATTGTGTGATGAGTGATGTCCTTCGTTCCAATGGAATGTGTCATGTTCTTTCAAATCGGTCACACAAAACTGGAAGAAACGAGAGGGAACAAAGTTAACTTTCACAAATCTGTTTCAGTGATTAATAACAATAAAATAACTACGAGAGTTTAATAAGATGTCGAATGTACCTTCATACATAGATGCCAACCCAGAGTAGTAAGAACAGCACACCGAAGCCCATAAAAAGTGAAGCCACGAGGGAGATCAGCAGCTCTTTGTAGACGTCCCTGGTGTATTTTGTTGATGTTACCTCGTAGCTGATGAGAAGTTAAGGGCCAGCCATAAAAAAAAAAGCACAACCAACAGCCAAGTTCTGAGCTCTTTGACAATTCTAACGCCTCCTGCTGTCTAGCTTAATATGCAATTGTCCTTAGCGTACTATAGTTTACTATGTTTAATGTCATTCTGAATGCTTTGATGAACTTTACATAGAATCACTGTTGAAAAAAGTCAAAATTGAAAGCAATGAAAAATGTGCAAAAACGCAGGATATTTCAAACATAGTCCTGTTTTAACATTTAAACAAACTATAGTAACACATGCTGACTTTTTCACCTTCCTTAGTTCCAATTGTGGATTTCTTCCTTTATCAAGCATTTTGACTCTGAACGACAACTATGACATTTTTATGTTAACAATTTCGTTATAAATTGAGATACATTGAAGCCAAATTAGCTTCCTCTATATTTTAAAGATACGATTGAAAGTGAACAAAATATATATCTGTAATAATCCCGTACTACACAGGAAAACAATGTGGACAACCCATAGGTTTAACCTAAAGCAGGAAGAAAGTTTGTAAAGTGCCAAGTTGGGTACCTTTATTTTTTTCTACCAAATAATTACAGCTAAAGTGGGAGTTTGTTTTCAAGTGTATGAGCATCTGACTGCTTGTTTGTTGCTTTATCAAAGCCTAATTATAATTTTTTTAATGCCAATAACCAACTCTGTAAGTTATGTGTTATTGTAACCAACTAAATCAGGGGCTGAACTTGAAGTAAGATGCTCTATAACATGTAGAGGCACTGCAATGCTGCTCAACCTAATCTTGTACCGTGTTACTGCAGGTTGCTATACTTCGGTAGCCTAATGTGTCCTGTAGCACGTAAACAGTGTTTTGTAGAACAAGTAGTGAAAGGATACACGAAGAACCAGGCGGTGAAGAACATGCCGATGGCCAGCAGGACCACGGTGAGGTGGGGGAACACAGCCGGGTTCACCGGGCTGGTGTATCTGGTCATAGCTTCGAGTTCCTGCAGCCACAGAGGAAAGGATAAAACCAGGTTAAAACAATTACATATCCAGCAAAAACACCAGCCATTAACGCCTATCATAATGCACCGCGTCAATGGCGTTTAATTAGTTTTGAAACACGTATATGTGGTTTTATTAGAGCGGCGACATCACTGGATTTGACATGAGAAGCTAATGTTGCTACTTTGCCTATCTACAACGTTAGCTACGCCAAGGATACAATCACATAGAAAACGAATTATTTTGCTGGTTAAACTATGAACATCGTATAACGATAAACCGCTTACCATTGCATAATACAAATAGAAAGTCAATAAACACGATAGATTTAAGTTATTTTACCATTTTGCTTTGCAGAGGAGCTCCTTTTTCTATGGTCCAAGATGATAAGGCCACGTACTGACTATCACTTCCTGGTTTTTGCGTGACGTACAGTTGACGTTAGCCAAAACGTGTTTTTTACCCCTCAGTTGAGCTTCTCAGGCTGGCTGCAAATGCATTCCCTATTAGTAATTCAGTTTTTTTTATAACATTTGAGTCACTCGGATACATAACATAGAAGTTATTAAAACATAAATCATGAAATAAGGAAAAATATTTGTATAAAATAGAAATTAACCACTAAAACACAATATGAGCAATTGTGACTATGAAGTGACACATTTTGGTAGTACATTTCAGCTACTGGGAAACATAAGCCAACATGACAATTATCAAGAAAACAGGCGTCAATATTTATATAAAATGTATGAAAACTACGCTGGGACTGGGACAACTCGACTTTATGGCTTATCGGCTGCCCGCCACCTGAACGGTTTATATCGGGGCATAACGTTTAAATGTAATTTGTTGTCATAAATCATCTGCTGCCACCTATTGGACAACATTAGCATTTTATTTTGATCTAATGAAGTTTAGCAATCAAACAAAACAGACAATTCAATCACAAATGTATTTACTACATGCATTTACATAGTATTACAGCATTTATTTTAACAAAAGGCTTTGAAAGTGTAACAATAAAATGGGCAACAAAGATAAAGTTGTGAGTATAAAGTAGTACTCAAAGAGTTTTAGTGTTATGGTATTTTTCCTTGAACAACAGTGCTACAGTTGGAAATGTATTATTTTGAGTGTGTGTGTGTGTGTGTGTTTATGTGTTTGTGTGTTTACAGTCTTGTCAATCATTTATGGGCTCCATTAAATGTTAATATATTATCGATAATACAACAACCAACCAAAACATATCAACTATAAAAACAAAATTATAAAACACATCAGATAAAAAGGAGCATTGGTAGTAACACAATGAAGCTATACAGTTACATGTAATGCAGTTCTTACAGAGTTTATGGAAACAGTCTGGTGCACCGGATAGAGCAAAGCAGTTCATATATACAGTGCAAAAAGTGCTACAGTGGTTTCAATATGCTAGCTAGTGCATTATAAATAAGCTAAAACAGTACACTATACCCACTGAAATCATAGTAATTATACTGGAAGCATTGTATAGTATCTCAATGTCATGATAAATTCCATACATTTTTGTCTGATGGCTGTTTTTCCTATTGAGTATTGATTTTACATTTGACATACATTATTCTGTTTTTTTTCTTTCTGAATACAGACACATATGAGGAATGAATTTTATAACATAATACAAAATAAGTAGGGTGGTAAAAGTAAATGGAGAATGGTTTTAAAACAAGAAAGCATAATAGAAAAAACAACAACTTCGGTTATACTCAAAGTGTTATCACTGCATAGTCTTAATTGCATAGGCACAGACAAAGTATTCAAAATATCCAAGGAAATACACAAAATAGTCCAGTGTATATTATCCAATTTTATCTCTGCAGTGTACAAAAAGAAATGCAACTCCTTCTCAGCTTCATGATCGAGCCATTAAAATGGAATTTCTTTAGCTGAAGCAGCCTTTGAGTTGCCTCTGAGCTGAGATGTATCATTTTAGAGAAATGATTGGACATGCACCTGAAATGATATTTGCCATTTATTGCCCTGCCAGCATTTTATCCAGTTAGCAAAATACAGTGTAAGCTATTTCAGTGTTTCTTGAAATATATTGTCAGTGTTTGACTTGTTGCATTTCCATTATCAGATGCCAGGAGCTGTCAGTGTTTTACATTTTCATTTCCAGTGATTTTTTTCCAGATCCAGTTTTATAGAATGTCTTTCAGTGAATCTGCTAATAAAGTATGTATGACTTATAAACCTTAATTTTAGGTACGATAATAAGGATTTCTGGATAGAGGATAGAGTATCCATATAACATTTAAAAGGGACATATCATACTAATTTTCAGGTTTATACTTGGATTTAGATTTTTTTGTAGAACATCTTTTAATGCTTTAATGTTCAAAAAACACATTATTCTCACCGTACTGTCTCTATGAATGAATATATCTGTATAAACCTCTTTCTGAAAGGCTCCATTTGGGTGCCTGTCTCATTAAGCAGCCCCCCCCCAAAAATCTGCTGTGATAGGATTGCACGAAAAATATGGCACACCTTTTCATAAGTATTTCTCCAGCTGTTTGTGTTAGCAGTCAAACTGGGGCCGATATATTGTAATGTCACATACAGTAGGAAGGCGAGCAGATTTTTTCCTGATCCAGGCAGCCCACATAAAACTGTCTGGGTTGTCTTATTTCACAGTTTATGAATTGCTAGGCACTCTAGCCAAATGTTTCTTTATAATATGTCCCCATATATGTAAGAATTTGATGTTTCATGTAATGTCAGAGTTTAGATAGACATACAGCAAACTATTTCTTCTCTGTGCAGTGTTTAGTCAGATGCTGCGTGAGCAGACAGCAGACAGTGTAGTCGACTGCAGCAGCCTCCAACACAATGCTCCACTGTACACACCCAGGGTTTGCCAGTGTGCACTACTGAGGTATAATTTCAGTGTGAGCTGCAACCATTCACTGAGGACTTCAGCGAAAGCCAATGATTTCCTCTCCAGTGTATCAAACTATTGTGTTTTTGTTTTCAGTTGACACTGGTTTCAGTGTACATACAGATTCATTGTATACAAAAAGAATCATAAATGTATGCAGAGTCATACAGTTTCTTAGCCTGGACTTCATTTAAAAACTTAAATTCTGCTAAAAAGTAATTATGGCTTCTATAAAGTATGGACTTGGTGATCATTAATAAATTGAGCAATAAACGTATGGTCTCAGTTAACAATGACACAACACAGTCGACAATTACAGAGATCTAAAACATTTTCAGTGACCTGTTTCACACTCCAGTGATCACAGCAGAAAGAGATGTCTTAATGCATAAACATATGGGGGCGATTACAGTGGGAACAGTGGTATATAGTTTCTGTATGAAGATCTTTAAAAAATAATGTACAATAATAAGACAGAAACCCATCCTATAATATCAACAGTGTACAAATGGAACCACAAAGGGAAACTGTGGTGTATTGTAAAGACACTGGGACACATCGTCTTCCTTCTCATACACAGCTGCTCTGGATGAGAAAATGGTAGTCGGAGTACGGTGATGTTTCTCCTTCAGAGGCACAGCTCACTTCACTCTGTCCATGAAAAGCAGGTGGAGACAAAATGCAATAATCAGTCGTTGACTTCATTCAAACTAACTCCTACAGGAAATGGATCACAAGTACTACTGGGCAAAATGGAAAAAATCTAACATATAACTTTTATTACCAAATACCTCAAGTTTAATATTTTGGCAATATTGTAACTATTTTGTGCTTTCATAAAATACTAAGGAAAATTGACAGTAATATGGATATAATGACATATAAGAGGATTAAGCCAGAAAATAGAACAGCTAGAGTTTTGTAGTATTATAAAGGACATTACTTTACTGTAAAGTAGACTTTAAAACCCACTAAAAGGTGACACTGATGCCATATAACGATATACAATATACAAAATCTAAGTCGATATCGAGTCTATTCCAGTATATTGATATGATATCATATATAGATCAAACAACACAACGCAGTGCCTGAAAGCTTTTAGTTTACTCACAGACAGGGAGACACGGAAGTGATAGGCGATGTCCTGGAAGGACAGCACGGGCACTGACCACAGGTGATGAGTCCCCTTAGAGGAAAATATAAAGAATATAGAGAGTCCGCAAGATAGTCATTTGCAATATGTTGCCTTTACATATATTTACACTCCCTTGTGTATCTGAGAATAACACAACAAAAGATGAAGCAAAATAACTAAACAAGACAGCAAGTCCATACAATAAATACAACATGAGCAGGCAGCAGGGTAGCTGTTTTATTTGTTATAAAAGGTTACATTTAAAATGACAATTGAATATGCTACATGGTACTTTGTCACCTTTTCTTTAAGGCCACTTTACAAATACAAGTATAAATAAAAATGATAAAGAATAAAACATGTTTTGATTATATGATGGATAATGATTATCAATGTGTACCTTTGTTGATGTTCTCTGTCCACCATAGAGCTCTGTCTCTGTGTGGTTGGGGCACAAACGTCCCTTGGTGGCTCCACATTGTTTTACCCAAACGCTGTTCGTAGACCTGCAATTAAATCATTATGCTCCATGTCTCTGTGCCATACAGTTGACATGTTTTATTAGCTGCACAGGTAACACTCTGTTTTAAAACTTTGTTTGTTGACTAAAATGTGGCATTTGTTGAAGGGAAAAGGTCAAATGTATTAATCTAGTATAACATGTGTGAAATGTAGTTTAGCTAGTATAGCAACTAACTGGAATGAATTGACTGGTGTACCAAAAAGCTTGTCTTATTTTTCATTCAATATAATTAGTGCCAAATTACATGGTTCTTTACAGCAAACCTCCTAGGAAATTATCCGTAATTTAGAGATCCATAAAATAAAGCAATACCAGTGCAATGCTTGCAGGTATTTGGATAGGTTGATGTTTGTATACTCACGTCATGTGCAAAGTGATTTGTGAGATGGAGGAATTTCTGTTTCCAAGGAGTGAAACTGTGTAGCTAGAGTCAAAAGAGAATCATAAAATCAGCATTAAGCATCAAGACCTGAATTCAAACTCTAATTGTGTAAAAGGCAAACTAACAGAGAATGGACGAATCAAAGGAAAATGTCAATAAATTATTGCAGAACAAAACGTAAATCACAGGCTATACTTCAAAATGACAACATCTTAACTCTAAGATTCTCTTGTGTACAGTAAGGATGGGACGTTGTTGACCTCAACTGATGGAGTGTTAGGGCGTTGGAAGGAACATTTTGAGGAACTCCTGAACCCGACAACTCCGCCCTCTATGTTAGAGGCAGAGCTGGAGTATGACGGGGGATCAACACCAATCTCCCGGGGGGAGGTCACTGAGGTCGTCAAACAACTCCACAGTGGCAAAGCCCCGGGGGTGGATGAGATCCACCCAGAAATGCTGAAGGCTCTGGGTGTTGAGGGACTGTCATGGTTGACACGTCCCATCAAC